TCCGCGACCCTGAGCAGGCGCTGCATAATGCCTTTTCCAAGGGAGGTGCCCTTATAAGGGCCCTATCAAGCCACAACATTCCGACCCAAACGCCCGCCACGCCCGCCCGCCCACAAATGGACGACCGTTCCTGACGCTCTAATCGATTCATTTGCTAAGCAAATTATGAAGCGAAGGGATTGGTATGAAGCGGCCGTGATGCTGCATGGATATATGAGTACACATATGCAGCCGTACCTTCGGTAGCGGTTACGCCCTACTAGTCCTCTCCCACGACGAGCATCGGTGAATCGAGGGTCCGCTTACACACCATTAGCCCACCTCGGTCTCACAGTTCCCCGGGGGCCATATCGCTTTCCCGCACGATATAGTCTCGGTTCCCCGAGGGACCACCCGGGTCTACGCCCGTGACAGGCTGAAGGGGACGGCAGCCCATGACCAGGCATGTCCCCGTGGGGGGTCCGACCTCCCTCATGTCCGTCCTGGACCCCCAGGTCGGCCGGCCCTCCCACTGTCGCAGCCTGCCGTAACCGGTCTGACGGCATGCCTGTTAACCCCCTACGGCATGCAATAACCAACCACACAAAATACCAATAGAAATATGACCAATAATAAATATACCTTTACCTAACCTGTACCTTCCCTGCCTTACCAGCACCTTACGGGCCCACCTGCCCGGTCGCTCCCAACTCCCATCTATTGCAACATAACAAAACATATAAACACCACATTTATTGACTCACGTGTTTGCGGTAACCATCTTCCAACTGTCCTTACATCCTGCCGTAGCTGGACTGACCATCCATCTGCCATCTGTCCTAGCGGTAAACCTAGCGGTAAAGGGCGCTCTGCGGCTACAAGCTGCAACCCACAGCCGGCCGTGCCTTCGGGTCATAGCAGGCACGGGCCTGAGCCAGAGCTCCGCCAGACGGAGCAGTGTGCCCGACCACACTGCTGTACAGAGTGCAAGCACCCTGCAGAACCGTCCGGCATCATGGCGGCAGAGCGGGTGCCCGGTGGATCTCTCCTCCCAGGAGGGAGACTTAGGCCCATGCCGACCCTCACCGGCTGCTAGCTACTAGCTAGTAGCCACTATCTTTCTCTATAACATTTCGGACTGCTTTTTCTGCTGCTTTTCTCCGCTAATCAGATACTTAGCACTTTTTTGTGCCTATTTGAGTTCCGTTTCCCGCAATTTGCGGTCGCGAACTGTGCCTTTAATTTCAACCGCATTGCTCGGTGAAGCGCTGGGCCTCGGAGGAAAAGTAAAAGTATAAGAGTCAGGTTAAACAAAGGTTCCATCTAAAAACGTCGTTTGGCAGTTTGTTCATCATCTTTCGAAACGTACCTATGAATTCGACCCATCAATCTGGCACTCCTGTAGGTGGGTTCGTAATCTATTGCCGAAATGAAAGTCTGGCTGGCGATCGCTTTTCTCCGGCGGGATCTCCTTGCCAGTCTCCTCATCTAAACTGAATCAGTAACAGGATCGCGAGCATGGTGATGCGATTAGGTGCTCCTAATCACTAGTTAGGCGAACGTTGAACGCTGTCTATGAAAGGAACGGGACGAAGAACTTTCGAGTCGACATGGGTGTGCCTGTAAGTGTCGTGCGGCAAATGAAAGTTCTAGCTACACACACTGCTGTCGCTCATAGAAAAACCCGACAACACAGTTAGCGAGTTGCTGAAATGACCAACCAGCGCTAAAGAAAGCCATGAAACCAGTCAAAAAGCTTTGTGAAGCTTTATAGAATGCAATCCACCTTCAGCTTTAGATACAGAGGCACCGGGCATAGGACAGAGAACAGACACGAAGATCAAGATGACCAAGGACGACCACCGCTACAGGTATGAGCGCTACGTTGTTAACCCCCGGGAGGAGCTGCCTAACCAAAGTGTGTTGTTACTATGCTGGGTAGGCGTCCCCGTCACGCCCGATGGCGAATGTGGTAACCTACCCATACAGGAAAAAGACTACCTATGAGAAAATTGCAACGTGTTTTAAATGAAGCTATAGATGGTAAAAAACCCTACTGAACGACAGCACTTCCAATGAAATTAGTCCACACCTATTGTCCAATCCTTTACAAGCGGCTCAGGTGGTAACCCGGTTTTTGTGAAATCAACAGCTTGGGAAATTTTCCTCGCCAGCCTCTGACAAACCTGAAATTGTAGTGTAGAATAGCAAGACAAATGGATAAGGTGCTCTAACGAGTACAGGAACAGATCAGCCAGCGACATCTTTTCTGTCCGCCTGCGTCCTCCGACTGAATGAAGTTCGCCTAATGATCTCACTTCCAAGACCTCTGCTTTTGGCGTTGCCAGGGAGGTCGTTCAGTACTGAAGTGCTTCTCGAAAACACTTCTTTGTACACGTGCATGGAGTATCAGAGTGAATTCTTCCTGACGTCTCTGGGATTGCCAAAAAAGGAGTGAAAAAGAAGTTCATGGAAATTGTTTTTGAGCCTCTGTGGGCTCTAAATCACTTGCAACTTTGATCAGTTGCTGACTGGGGTCCTTATAAAGGTACCATTGGAATCGAGGAAAAAAGTCGCAAATAGAGTCTCACTTGCGGCGCGTGATGAAGAGTGGACGGCTCCTTAAAATGATTTCTTCAACGATCGGAGCGGTGTTCAGCTACAACGATCGGATGGCCTAGTGGATAGCGTGGAGGATTCTCAATCGGACAGTGAGGGTGGGGGTTGATGGTTCGACTCCCCTCGGCTTGCGAGTTTTTGCATTTTTTATGTTTCGCTGTTCTCGCTTCCATATATGTCTGTTTATAGATTTAACTAACTATCTACCATTTTTAGGGCACATTGTAAATAGTTATACCCATGTGTCGGTGCTATTCAACAATTCCGATATTCGCATCCCATTAAGCAAAAGCTTTTCTAGAAATGGATCTTTAATTGTTAGTCAGTGCCCTGATTACGAGTGCGGCACTTAATCTCAGCTGTGGTGCCATTTATCGCCGATTTAGAGTCACATTTTTCTCCCGCTGAACTCGGTATGTACACTCATTTATTTATTTATGCGTACAATGACGCGCCAGGTCAGTACAACGGTCCGTGCGGGAGATCAGTAACAGAACTCAGTGATTCTAGAGTCAAACAAGGAAATGATAGGAAAACAAAAATTTAAGGGAACAACGAAAAAGAGTTAAAAAAAAGCAACGAAGTAAAAAGGAAACAGAAAAAGAAATAAAAATAGACACACGAAAAAGGAAAGCGCGAGGAGGAACTACCATGTGACCAAAAACATTCATGCCTTGGAAATCTATGTAAGAGGATGCACTAGAAGTAGAGGAGACCCAAAAAGACGAAACTCAGACAGAAGGGCTACAGCGCCTTATGATATGTAACTCCTCGAAATGAAGAGTGGCATGTGTGTGGGCATATGAAGCTAGAAAGAAGAAACAACAAGAACAGAGCTGTCCCGGGGCGGTTTCGAAGTAACAGCATGACTTTGGATTAAGCCGTTATCCAAGAGGTAGGGTTTCTAGTGAGCACTGACGCTAGCGCCTACACCAGCCGGCCATGGTGTCCTTACGCCACATCCGGGGTCATGGGATTTTGCCGGAACTTCGAAACACGGATATGCCGGCTGCCCACGTGGAACCGACAAAACAGGCAAAAGCGCGAATGTGCTGTCAATCATTCCCTACCACAGCCTTAGTAAGTAGCCCATGAGTGGATGCTACGAGTTCGCCCGCATTTGATGTTTCTGTGAATGGTGGACAATCTGTGTAGATCTGATTTCAGCTTCTTTCCCATGATGCCACTCTTAACCAGGAGGAACCGAAAAAAGGAGTATCTTCACAAGCATTCGAAGAGTAAACGCGTTTACTGTACATCTTCCAACCCGAGGGCTTCCAATACGTTAATCTTATTCAGCTCTCTTAAATGGGAGGAGTCTTCACAAAAGGAAAGAGAGGGAGGCGATTTGAGGGTTTCTCAGGCCGATTTCGATCGGATTCTGACGCCAAATTACGTCGACGCCAAAAATAAGCGTTCGTGTCACGATCAGGACCATCAATTACCCCCATAGGCAAACTTCAAGCTGAAAAATTTTCCTGACTTTCTTGTGTTTCGTCTTGGGTTGTGCTCAAGAGTCACACTGTTGAAGTCGTACACGTGCTGGTTACCGAAACCCTCCCATTCAGTGGTACAGAAATACAAAACTAACAACGATGATAGAAGCCATGGAAAGAGAAGAAGAAAGGGTTTGTCATTCCTCCGGGTGCATCTGAAAAAGTGAAGAAAATCGAATGAGTCTCTTCTCTCGGTAGGGAGGACGACATCTTCGTTGAGCGAGCAGTCGCTAGGGGTCGACAAATGTCCAGGATGGTTTTTCACGTATTCTGCGGCCACCCAGGCTTATGCCAAGCATGAAAGGACCTCATGCGGACCGAATCCGCGATACCACTGCCCAGCGCCCTGCTACGTCATCGTTATGTCATAGCCGCAAAAGTGGGACTCTGGTCATATTGCCGACCAAATGGTCTCGCATAACCCAAGGAAGTCAAAAATATGTTTTTAGCCGAAAGTTTGCCTGTAGGATAATTGATGATCCTGAACGCGATTATGACACTTATTATTCGCGTCGACGCACTTTGGCGTCACAATGGCCTGAAAGTCCCTCAAATGAGTGTACACACCGAGTCCAGTGGGAGAAAGATGGCTCCAAACCGGCAACAAATAACACTACAACTGAAATTAAGTGCTATAGTCGTGATCAGAGCACTGAATAATGCATAGGGATCAATTTTGAGAACCCAGAGGCGTTCAGGAGAAATGAATCTCAGTTGGTGCTCCATGTACGTAACCATGCAAAAAAAGGTTTTCAAAAAACGCTCTACGTCCTGAACGATTTCCCTGGTTAGAGAAGCAGACGAACAGAGTGAGCACGGTCTAGCGGTGCAGTGTCGTTCTTTCCAAGTACTTGAGCAATAAAAACGACTGACATCCAGTGGATTACAATAATGACGCGTAATGCGTTAAATATAAGAACGTACTTCAGAATTGATGCCGTAAAGATCCGCATTGAAAAGGAACGAGTTCGAAATTGTGCCCACAGAATCTTGAGTGATGTAAGTGATGTAAAATTTAACCATATCATCATTCTAAATAGAGGAACCTGGGTAAATTTCAACAGCGAGCAGAATAACTGCGAAATCATCTCACTATTCTTTTCTCGTCAACAGGAAGGATTTTCGTTTTATCTGGAGTGTAGTCGAACGGATTTTCATTACGATTTAACAACAATTCCTGATCCCAAATGACAGCATATTCATCGCCATCCAAATCAGAACCTGGAAAAGCGTCGTTCATGACTGCAGGAAATCAGCTTACTCATAAGCATAACATCGTGCTTTTGTAGATACTACTGCACGTATGCACTCATATATTCATGCTTCATATTAACTGTACTTCATGAATAAAGCAATAAGAGTACTAGCGTCGCTGTGACTGTCCGGCCATTGATGGACGAGTGGTTGCAGTGAGCGGGTAGGGATACCGCGCTGGGCGCTAAGCGGCGTCCTTGGTTGGAAAGGAAATGTTCATGCACCTCATGGTTGGATCACAATATCCTTCTGTGTCAGACGTGTTTACCCTGTTTTTTTTTCTCTCTCTCTCCCTCCCTCCCTCTCTCTCTCCCTATGATTTATTGTGCCACCTGCCCTCGATAATTGAAGCACGCCTATGTTAGAGGATCTAACGGGAGGAGGACCGTATTTGGTCGCTTGATGGTAGCGGGGATGCATCTGGTTTGAAACGTTTGCAGATTCTTGATTTTCTCATGTCACCACATTCTGCGCGCTATATACCTAGTAGTCGACGCCGCCGTAGAACGATATTTTATGACAGTCGATCGGAGAAGTCCACTCCTGGCCGACGGCAGTTTCTCGGGAGTCTGGCGCCGGCTGTGGGATGGTGTCGCACCGTAGAATAAATTGAGAATAAAATAAATTCGGCACTGTGGGTCGTGCCGAATTTATTTTATTCTCAATGTGGCGAAACCTCTCCCCAACGCTAGGATGTATCTTGCTAACGATTAAACAAGGCACTTTTGCGGTAAAGAATCGTTATTTGTCATCTTACATGTTAATGACTTTGACAACTGTACCATTGCCAGTGATGTCTCACGACCAGGGTGCAGCATCGTGATGTGTGAAATGACGGTGTCCGAACGACCCTCCCCCCCCTCGGCAAAGGACCTTGATACGACTAACCCCCCCCCCCCCTTTCGGCTCTAATTGTTTGCTCTGACGAGAAGGATGGATACGTAACGACTCGCAAGCGCTTGCGACCGCGTTATGATTCCATTGGCAAATTGGCGGTAGTGCAGACCTGTTGGGCGGGTGGAAATAGTGGGGTTTTAGCTTTAGAACTGGCTTGTAAAAAGGGAAGGCGGCATGTTAAAGCAATGTCTCTACTGATGCGTTTACCTACTCACAATATGAATCGTCCCCCCATACTTTCGCTTCAGCCGAGAACAACTTCTTTGAAAAACAAGTTTTCGCAAAATCATAAATACCACTAGAACGCCCACTATCTTCTCATTCCAGCAATCTCTAGAGTTTCTCTAGGATACGCTCTGGTTCAGAAACATGATCGGTGACCCTTTGGCGACAGTCTGAGCCACTCAGAAGCTCGACTCCCTCTGAGTTATTGTAGGGATACTCATTCGCGAACTTTAATATGCCGTAAAAGCACATATTTCCGTTGAACTGAGACAAAGCACAATTTGGATATCATCGATCGATATGGTCCGAGCGTGAGCCGCGCACTACGCTTCTACGCAGAAGGTGTGGAAAGGTGTGATTTCAGACTCCAGGTGGATATAAAGCGCTTCGTCTGTTTGTTTGTAAGTTTGTCTGTCCCGGAAATTCGGTTCGACCTGAAGAACGACTTGGAGAGGTCGGGTCAAGGTGGGGATGGGTAGGGCATGGGACAAGAAATAAAAAGCACACTTGACCTATGGGAAGCCCCGCCCACAGTGGGCGGGGCACTCGCCGAAAGTTTGGGGTTCCGCAGAAAAATGTTCATAATTCGCTTCCGGAGCAGCTTAAAGATGGGGAAAAAGGGAATAAGGTTAGTAAGGAGTCGCCAGACTAACTGTGGCAGACACATCCAAAATGGGCGGGGCGTACTCAAGGTGGGCGGTGCTTCTCGCAAAATTCAGTAACCCGGTTCGCGAGTGTTTGGAAGTCGCAAAAAACTCAGTGTAGAATGTAAATATCCGGCGAATATAGGGCACGCTCAAAGTGTGTTGAGACCCGCCCACAGTGGGCGGAGCTTGCCCTAAATCGCAGGGTATTCATTTTAAAAGTTTGTAGCTCGGTTCCAGAACACTCCAGACACCGGAAAAAAGTGGATTAAGGTCAGCAGAGGGTCGTCGGTGAAGATTGTGGGGCACAAAAATTGTGGGCGGAGCCTGCTCCGAGGTGGGCGGAGTCAGACAAAAAGGTCTGTAAAACGGTTCCAGAGCACTCCGAAGACCGGAATAAAGTGAATTCAGGTCAGCAGAGGGTCGCCGGTGAGGATTGTGGGGCACAAAAATTGGGGGCGGAGCCTGCTTCGAGGTGGGCGGAGCCAGACAAAAATTCTGTAGAGCGGTTCAGACACTGGAAAAAAGTGGAGTACAGAACAAAAGATGGATATCAGATGAGTCTAGAAATATGTGAAAGAAAATACGCGCGGCGAAGCCGTCCGGCGCAGCCGGGCCGTATCAGAAGGAGGCGCGCCGGCGTTAGAAGGCGAGTCGACTGGTATTCATAAAAGCAAACTGCGAAGACAAGCAATCGATAACGGACTGGCCCTTGGACCACTGGTGACCTTCATTTCACCGAGAGGCGCCTCATTTTTTCAAGTTGGATCAAAACCTTACATAGAAGTCTGGCTAAAGACTGGAAATCCGTCCGCAAAGTAGGTTTTGCACCCTGAACGCGAATATGACACCCGTTTGGCTTACAAACGCTTGTGGCGTGCATGCATACAGGCATCTGTATGCAAATAATTTCTTGCAGGACGCATGCGCCCGACCTTGTAGGATTACCTAGGCCACCGACTGGATTCGCCGAGTAAGATCATATCAACGCTAGCAAGTCTTTCACGCTTAAAAGAGACAATGCTCACAAAATGCAAAAACTTGTCTCCCTAAAACTCGAACTCCATATCATGCCTATGGAGTAGGACTCGTATCAACAAAGTATGCTGCCGCTGATACTGTGAACGCTTCGCGGTTATTCATGTCCCTTTATCTCACAAACCTCCATAACTCCACTCAGAGAATCGTTCAACAATTTTTGAAGGCAGATCTGAGTCAGCTCGAAAAACATGTTTTGCGATCTGTTCTCATTGGCACTGCCAACTGGCGGAAGACCCTGCTAGGAGATCACCTATGCTTTCAGGAACAATTTGGAATGATCGAATCTCAGGCAGGTTTGAATTCGATTTGGTTCTACGGGTCCGTCGGTGCACAATGTTGTACCTGTCGCCACTACAACACCAGATCATAAGTTTAGGAAGACAGACGGGTGCATTAACACTGAAAATTGCGCGTAGGACTGAATGTGTCGGTCCCTTGAGCGCATACAAATGGGCACATCGTAAGCCGGTTCAGTTACTGTTTGACGTACATAAGTAGCTGGTGTTCTCTGCTCTCCATCTGTAACCTGGTGCCGCCTGAGGGATAATGAGCGCACCTGGTGGTACCCTGCACTTGATTTCACGCAGTTTTGGATACTGTGCCTAAAATTATATTTTCATCACCACAGCTACCCCATCTACATGCAGGGCAGATAATAAATCTGGGCAAGTTGGAGCAACCAAAGTAAAACATTCATTAACCGGCCATTTCGTCAGTGTGTGGTCATGGCCCATGCATTGGGAAGGCAACCAATTGGAGCAACCAAAGTAAAAATTCATTACCGGCCATTTCGTCCGGGTGTGGTCGTGGTCCATGCATTGGGAAGACAATAACATCACACAAATGTCGTAGGTCAGGAATGTCCACGGCATCAAACACGCGAACATCGCCCCCGACAACACAAGGGTTTTTTGTGAGCAGTACAGTACCTGTGATAAAACCTCATAGGAAAGCGAGCTGAGAAATAATGTTTCAAACAATCATAGATATAAAGTCCCTAACTCGCTTACCAGTGAGAATTTTCCTCGATGCTTCTGGAGGAGGTGTCTTCAGGTTTATATTTTCAGTGTATTGCACAAAAACTTGGCCATACTGCAACTGCCCGGTCTCATCGACGACACCCAACATGGTACGACCCTTGTCAAACGGAATTTGAATCTGTTGCTTTTTCATTTGTTTAGCTGAAACACACTGAAGTTAGAGTAAACTATAAAGAATGTGCACTATTAACCCATTACTGCCTCAGCCTTCCAGGATCAGGTCAGCTCCTTGACCGGCATTTTCTCCAGAAGAGGATTTAGCGAAAAAATCCTTCCACGGGTGATCCTACTGAACATATTACAAATCCGCTTGGCCCAACCTGGAATCCGCGCTGCAGGTGCTGCCGCCAAGTATCCTCAGTCACCAAATTAGCTCGAAACTTGCTGCCACCGGCAGCTGACCCTTTGTACACGAATATCACATCTGTTTGGTACAAAATTACCTGACGTCCGCGGAACAGCTAACAACACCACATGCCTGCTTTGACCCCACACGCAGGTCATTTTGCGCAAGGACGTGATACGTGTTCGGGGGGGGGGGGATCAATCATCCATGGAAGTTCTCGGTGTTTGAGAGGCAGCTCCATACTGGCTCTCCTCCCCGAGACTAGCGCCTCCCCTGATGGTAAGTCACGTGGGAAGGACGACAACTTTGAGGACATCGTCCCTGGGCTCAATCTTCCACCTGCTCGCCGTGGACCCGGCCTCAACACTGGGTACCATAACCTAACCTATCACTAACAAAACAGTGCACTAATAAAGCCATGAACAACCAGTGGTACCATACATATAACATAAGCCTATCCAGCGCCTAAGGCAGGCCTTACCCTGGCCTCTAGCCCCATGCACTACGATGATAACATCAATTTATTGACCGCAGTAACCGTGTCCATCCTATCCTCAGTTCTTGCCCGAGCTGGACTGACCATCCGTTTTACCTTCCATTAGTCCTAGCGGTAACGGCACCCTATTGGTTACATGCTGAAACTCGCAGCCGGCCGCACACCTTCTCGTGTAACGGGCGCGGGTCTCATCCAGCGCTCCGCCAGCTGGAGCAAAATACCCGATCACGCTGCTGTACAGAGTGCATGAAGCGTAAGCCGGCACCATAGCGGTTTGGAGTGTCAGGGATTCTTCCCTTCCGCTGGTAGAGAAGCAGACCTGCCAGGCTTCGGCACCTCTTATATAGGCTCCCCTGGGGGCGGGCCCACGACGCCGACGGCTTCGTGCGGACGCGTGTCCTGTTTGACCTTGTAGCACGACGAAGCTCTGGCGCCCGGACACCACATCGTAGACGACAGATCTCAATCCCCAGTCAAATCGAAGTTACGGCGCGAACATCGAAAAACTCGTACCGTAAAGGGCCTTTGTTGCAGAGGATACAACTAGACGACCTGCATAGGACGGATTACATAGTATCGAAATATAATCGCCTTCGTAGTGAGATACCGGAAAATCCGCGAAGAGGGTATCAATACGCATATTGATCTGCGGAATTGGGAATCGAGAAGAAATCGATACTATCTAGTCCTCTGATTCGAATCCGTAGCGTTGCAGAGAATGAGCGCGACCCAATTTTATAAAAAGTAAAAATTTTAATTAACACACTTACTGACTGCAAATTTGATCGTGGCCTTAATTAATGATCGAAAGAAGGGTTCAGTACTAAGCTGGAAACCACACACCATAGACAAGCTGTCGACATCTACACGTCGTGGTAATTCCTGATCATAGAAGAAGAATATTTACATTCCCGTGGCTCCCACCAGCAGTAAGAATTTCACCTTGAGCTTATTACGGCAATCACGTTCTTGCAGCATCGTCCTAGCCATTGTTCGTATTTGCAGGTCGAGCAGTTCCTCGATACGATTCGTTACCCGTACGTGACATGCATACGACTGCATTGCGGAAACCTATCAAACAATACAATTCTTCCTTAGAAAGCTTCAGATTGATGTTCTCGTAGAGAAACAGGATATTTGGCAAGCATAGAGATAGTGTGAGAGCAGTGAGTCCGTTCCTCCTTCAGCTACAGCTTAAGATTGACCAGTCGCAAGGGTGACGCTGACTAGGGAAGCTCAACAGGTCAGCCCGGCCATTTGACTGAGATGAGACGCACATCATTGCACGTGTCGTGAGACGGTGAGGTCAAATCTACCTTCAAAATTTGCACAACGGCTCTCTGGACGGAGTTATGAATGTTTTCGTCACAGTTCTCTCTCAAAGGGCCGGCACCTGTAGTGCGCGAAATAATCACTTTGAAAACAGTGATATTCGTGCTCAGGGAAATGTCCAAGGACGGCACTTGAGAAGAATCTGAGATTTCATCGCAACTTCGCAGAACGAGGGGTTGGGTCAGACATGGCTGAATAGCAGCCACACTAAGCCTCACCCATCAGTAATGACT